TAAATTAATTTTAACTGATTTGAAATATTTCAAATTAATTTAATTATTTAAATATCTTATTTAATATCAAACTATTTCAAATTATTTCAAAATATTTTGACCTATTAATTTTGTTAATATGCCTATTGCAGTCAGATAATAGCAGGAATCAGAATAAAATAGGCTCCAATAGAACAGCCTATTTGAATTAGTTTATTGATCAAAATTCTAATTGTTTTATATTAATAAATATATTACAATCAGTAAAATTCTGATAAATAAGTTTTTATTTTATTGATTATCAATTTGATTATTGCTGATAGTATACTAATTAAAAAATCAGAATAATTGCCGATTGTATTATCACGGTTTTCGAAATGGTTGAAAATTGCAAATAACCTTTTTTTTTAATAAATACTTGAACACTCGAACACTCAAACACTCGATTATCTTAGCATGCTGATTGAAAATCGATGCACGATTTTGTAATTGTTTATCAAACAATAGTCATGTGGGTTATATTTGTACTTTATAGACTAGTGCAGATAAATTGCCTGGGTAACTAATTTATATATTTTACAGTGATCCTTTTTGGCGATATAGACTTTTTCCTAATATAGTAATACAAAAGCTTTATTTAGTTTGGTTTGAAAAAGTTTGAATCGCTAAAAAGGGTCAGTTTATTATAGACAGACATTCGTCTGATTGGCTGATGCCCGGGTAACTTATTAAATGTACCATTAAAATATTTTTTATAACGTTTTACTAACTAAAAAAATTTTCTACCTGTCTATATTTACTGTGCCAAGAACTTCACTTAGAAGCGAAGATTCGTTATTACTACGTATATTAGCTACATACAAATATTTAATATGAAAATTATCGAATAAGAAGAAGAATGTGATCTGGGTGTTTTAAGATAAATTTAAATTTTGAAAAACTTACATGTCATGTATTTTATTTGTAATCCCAATACTTACTGGTATATTCTACTTTAATATTGTGTCTATTAACTTGGCTTGTGTCCGGAGGGTACTATGTAAGGGTATGTTGATCTT